CCTAAAGTAAACTTCTAGAAGAGATAGCATTTTGGACTGTTTTTAATGTTTCTCGAATTTTCTTACGTTGCTTAATTCATTTCTTTATTTCTTCTTCAACTGCCAGAGCAAGGTTAATGCGAAATCCTTTGACAGATGGTACTAAAGGAATAAAAAAAACATCCTATGATTACAACATTATGAGATGAATATATAACCTGATATGCCAAAACTCACTGTTTTAAATGATGTTGGCTTAAAGAGAAGGCATTGGATTAATAGAAATTTGATCCAGTTCATGTTTCCAGAAGAGTACAACAACGATAATAAGACTTGCAACTGATTCAGTCATATTATAAACCACAGAGAAGAACAAAAAGAATTCATCTAAATGAAAACCTTTAAAAGGCATAAATAACGTTTTCCATGAGACAAAACATAAAGGAGAAAAGTCACAAATTAATGTTGTGAGGTGGATCAACCCAAACGCTGCCGTATGGAAACATTGGAGGGGGACGTGAGCTTTGCTCATCACCAAGAGAGTAGTAGTACATGTCATGTGGCCCGTAATGCGATGTATATATTCTGTTCCTCATCTCCGAGGGGAGACCAGCTCTTGTAAGAGAGACATGGCGACTTGCGAATACTGTCAACCCACCGAGTTCTCTCGTCTCTTCCCATACATTTCTCTTAAGATTTAGTCTAAACACAGACGGCTTCTTGCTGTAGCATGTCAAAATAACAAAGATGCCTCCTTCATGCTCTGTCATCAACACTGGCACACCGAAACCTAGCTGACGAAATGCGGGACAAGGTTTCACTGGAAGAATATTCCACGTTGCTCTAGTCGGGTCAAAAACCCCGAGGTAGCCGTAGATACAGAGACAATAGAACATACCATTCGAGAAGACACACCAATCCCATCTGTCCTATTCGCCCCGTAGGGGCTGGTTCTCAAAGTGATGGGTGGTCCATTCGGTTTCCCCAGGCCGCCAAGTATTGACCACAATATCTGAGCTATACCTTTTATAGGTGAGTGAGATCACCAAACAACTAGTTGATGTAGGAGCGGCGGAGAAAGCTAAGCAATGGCCTGCGAATTGAGTGGCAACGCGGGTGAGTAGATGTGTTCCCAGGTAAACGGGTTAAGTAAGACTAATTCCGTGTATACATCTTTTAGCACAAGCAACCAACCATTCTTAAAATAAGAAAATGTATTGAACTTGTTCAACTCTGGAGAATTGAGCTTATATGTTTGAGAACTTGATGGGTCAAAAAGAATGTAGTCTCCTCCGTCTTCTGACAATTCTGTGGATAAAAAGCCCAAGGACGAGGCTGTAGCTTCCTGACAGAAACAGCTGCTTTAAACCATGTCTTGCATACAACAGAAGCTCGTATGTTATCTTTTAGTCTGAGGAGGAAAAGAATCTCTTGGAGGAGCTCTGAGGGGATATTTAGATCCCACAATCCTTTAATACAATTCATCTTCGGTCCACGATTTCCTCTAGCGTTTATACTGTATCTGACAATTAGAGACGATGAAGAAACACGAATTAAGAGAAATCATACAGCATCTCATGGATGTTGGAATGTCGGTAAAGTGTTAAAAGCTACAAACTTTAATAACTGAAGTCATTCGTTCGTGCAACAGCTTCAAAACATAAGAACACAAAGATAACACTTTCACGGTATTAAAACAAAAACAAAAAACAATCCTAAGCCCTAATTTAGAGATCATATATAAACCCTAGAATTTCAACTGCAAGGAAAACTCACGGTGCTGGAAGTGCTTGCACATTGAATTCGGGGAAAAACGACGTCGGAATTTCAGCCGTGTATGTTCGCCGGCGAGAATTCATTATCTCCAACTGTGCCTTTTTGACGGCACGCCACACTGCTAGGTCAAATTGGTAGTTTTAGGGTTTTCTTTTTGTCGTTGATATTTTTCTATCTAAAATCTTGGAAAGTAATTTCCCATCTTAAAAAGGTTTAAATATGGACTTTAAGTACATCTCTCACTGTCTGACCTTACTTGCTTGGAAACCACGTTTTCCTACTTCCTAGGCTAATGCTATACGGTCTTCTGCGCACTGGAAATTGCCCTTAATTTCTCTTTTACGCAACCCATAGGAAGATTGGTGACTTGAGATTCATGCTTTATGTGATCAAATGTTCCCATTACATGATTTTTGTTTGATTTCGTTTTATG